TTAAATTTGCACATGACTAAAAATGAAACATCAGTTTAGAAAGGCTTCTGATGTTATTAAGTTAAGTGATAGTGATATGAAGATGGTGTGAAAAGTTTTGAATAATGAAAATTTTGTCAAAATGCAGATTTCATACTCAGAGCTGTATAGAATTCAAATTCCAGAACATGGTGATAGACCACTATTAGCACATAGCCAGCTCATAATATTACTTGCATAAATGAAAAATAAAGACTATTTCTAGACAAGTGAATCTCTTTTTTTTTTTTTTTTTTTTTTTTGGTTCAATTATAGACTATGATCCTGTATAAATAGTTAGATACCATAATTTATTTTTTAGTATAAGTATATCAAATTTTACTAAATAACTCTATGGACTGGAGAATCGTATATAATGTTAGATAGCATAATTTTGAGAAAACTGTCTTTTTTAAAGTTAAAAATACTATAACATGAATATTTACATCTCTTAACAATTTTTGTAACTAGTAGTACATCTCTACAGCTAGTTGTTGCAAAATTAAGGGCTGCATAAGGACTTTTATGGACATGCTGCATAACTGCTCTAAGGGTACCACTTTGCAATATCCCAGGGGAGAGAAATAAGGAAAGACACCTGGGAGCACATGATATTAATGGGAATGAGAACTAAACTAAATTATTTTCAGTGTATGGCTGGAAAGCTTAACTTTTTGTTCTCACTGTTTCGTTATAATGTTCCTGTAACAGCATCAGCAATGTATTACATTTCCATAGTGAAATAATACAAGGAAAGTAAGCTAGATATGATTTTCAAAAGTACATGAGTAGTTTATGTACACTGGAAAAAAAAAAAAAAAAAAAAAAAAAAAAGGGGGGGGGACAGTTCAATATCTCCCATTCTACTGGGCCTCTTGACGAAATTCAAATTGCATTTTTCCTGTCTCAAAAGCGCGACTTAGGATAGATGTTAGATTTATATTAAGCACTATTCTAACATAGGTATTTTGACACAAAATCAGACTTTTTCAGAAATACCATATCAATTTTTTCTCGCATTTCAATTCTAAGACTCAAATTATGCCTAAGTATTAAATTTTGTAAAATTTGGTGCAAAATTTATGGAAAATTTCAAAATTTATGTTTGCTCCAAGAATAGTTCACTTGGCAAACTTCTTAATATATGGCAACCTATTTTCCTTTCCCTTTTTACATTGTGTGTAAAAGGAAAAAAAGTCACTTCGTTCCTTCTTTAAATAATGTTCTTTATATTATATTTTTAATCATAGTTTTTTATTTTAAGTAATTTTCCCTTTTTCGAATTTTATTTTAATTGTTTAAGTTGCATGGTTTCTTTTCAATAACTGTTTTAAAAATTTCTATTTACTCATTCGAACTGCATAGTTTATTTATTTTTTTTCAAATAATTTTCTTTATACTATATTTTTTAGTCATAGTTAACACTTTGTGACCCAGACTACGATGCATTTGAAAACTACATATATTAAAAGAGAAAATACAGTAAAGCACAATTAACACGCCTTTCAATGTTCCGTTCAGAAAAGATATATAAATAAAAGAGATGTATATCCAACATTTTAACTTAGGATGACTTGCATACATTGCTTTAGACACTTTTACCACCCTAAATTAAATTTCTTAAAATGTCATTCATATTTTAGTGAAATATTTTATTTTTGAAATCGCACGCATCAAATATCATAAAATTTAAGCAAAACACTAAATTTTATGCAAAAATTATTTTTTTCTTTGTAATGGGTCGTTCTTTTTCTTCAGACCTTCTGCAAGTATATTAAAAAGCATCCAGCTTTTTGAAACATTTTGGTATTTCTGACATTAATTTTAAATATAGTTATCGCCTTCCATTTCAAAAGGGCCCACAAATGGCTGAGGGGTAAAGTTGCTAAACATTGGTAGTTCGCTCTGGGATTCAAATCCAGGCGAATGGGCTAGTTGAATGGATGTTTTCATGGTTTTTCTCATGTGTAACATGTATACGAGCTGGTTTCCGTTAGAAAGTTATTCACGAAGGCATCCCTCCTTTTAGGCAGATAGCCCTGCTTTGCCGAAACTTAATAATCCAATTCAATCCATTTCATCAGTATTTAGTCACAGCCTTTATCAGTCTTTAGAGGCTAGGCATTTTGAAGACATGAGATGAAAGGTGTGGTGTATTTAATTATGGCAAAGCACACTAGGGCTATTTGCCTAAGGGAATGGATGCCTTCATGGAGGACTTTCTAAGAGAAACTGGCTTATATACATGTTACACATGAGAAAAACCACGAAAATGCCCATGCAGCCAGCCCGTTTGTGGGATTCGAACCTTGGATGGAAACTACCAGTGTTCAGCCACTTTACCGCTCAGCCGCTGGTGGGCCCCATGAGATGAAAGGAAAGACTGGTTTCATCAAGCAAGAAAGTTGATATCCATATATGTCACAGGATAAATTTCTGAATCTTCAAATAATTCGGCTGAGAAATCATGGGACGCTCCGTTTATGATATGATATGACGTTCTATGAAAAAATCTAAATTTATACAACCATATAATCAAAAATCAGTCGCTCTTAACTTTAATCTGCAATGATATCGTTTTTATCTTTTCCGTTAGCACAAACTCAGTTGCTGCTATTTGCTGGTGTACACGTCCAAGAGTTTTCTTTTTGAACATCCAACTTCCCTGAAGTTAGATTCTCCTTTAGATTTATACTTCCCCCTAATTTACTTCTACATTTGTTTTCAGTGTTGACACAAGATCATTAAGATTTTTCGGTTGTTACACTTCTATAAATTTTGCATTTTTATCAAACTTTTTAAAATAATAGTTGTATCAAATGCGTTTCAGTTGAAGACAGCTTTTCATTTTCTAGATATTTTAACTATAAATAAAGTTCAAAGAATAAATATTTGAATCAAAAGATGTTTGTTAAATGAGGAAGAAATAAATTACTCCAGCAGCACTTATTCTGTATCACCAATTCTTATATCAGGTGCAAACAATCTAAATAATATTATTTAGAGTTTTTAAGCTTAATAATTTCTATATTAAAGAAGATATTTTTATATAATCTACAACATGATAGAAAATTACTACTTAAAACATACTTTTTAGAGAATTAATGTAAAAATTTATATTTATATATATATTTTTAAAGCTGGTACATGACCCAAACTGTCAATGTTCTATTTTGCTTTAAAACATTGTGAAAAAAACACCAAACTTTCTCAGTTTTAGACAGTTCAATTTAAATGAAGTAAAGTAGCAGACACAATGAAGGTAAAAATTTACTCATACAAATATATTTAAAAAGAAAGAAAGAAATTAAAAATTTGAATAATATCCATAATTTTTAAAAAATAGCTTTTCATATAGGATTAATAAATATTTATTATGCATCATTGAGGGGAAAAAATTTGTATTATTAATTCTCCATAAAACCTTATTTCAAATTTAAGGTTAAAAATAGTTGTGGCAATTCACTGTAACAAATGCATAAACCACATTTGGCAATAAGATTCTTGATCGAAACACATTCTTGATCGATAAGATCAAGAAAAAGATGCCAAATTTCAAAACGCGCCAATATGTAAATTCTTGTATATCTTAGAAATACACCTACTTTAAGATGATTGTAAAAATTTTATAGATTATAATTCAAAATTTTTTTAGAAAATTATTTAAAATACAAATTTTTTAAATCATAAAAAAATGCATGATTTTATTTGGAAGGAACCTGAATTTTTGAATGTGAAGGAAGAATCAAATAAGCTTGATAAAAAAGAGAGATTAATAAATATATACCAAACTCAATTAGCATTAAGAAGCTAAAATTTTGAGAGCTAATTTTTTAAAAACTACTCGTGCGATTTTTACAAAACTTGGTAGTTTGGCGTAATTTGAGTCAAAGAATTGAAATATGGGAAAAAATTGGTATATTATTTCAGAAAAATGTCAGATGCTTTGTCGAAATACCTACCTATATTAGAATAATGCTATATATAAATCTAATACATGTCCGGCCCGTGCTTTCGAGACAAGAAAAATGCAGGTTGAATTTTGTCAATCGGCCCAGTAGAACGGGAGATATAGAACTGTCACTTTTTTTTTCGCAGTGTACATACTAAAAACTTTTCTCTAAAATTTATAAAAATTATTTAAAAATACAAATTTTAAAAATAAATCATAAAAAATGGGTGAATGTTATTTGGAATGAACTGATTTTGAAATGTGAAAGGAAGAATCAAATAAGCTTGATAAAAAAAGAGAGATTAATAAACATATACCAAACTCAATTAACATTGAGAAGCTAAAATTTTGAGAGTTTATTTTTTAAAAACTACTCGTGCAATTTTTACAAAACTTAGTAGTCTGGCATAATTTTAAAAATAGAATCAAAATATGGGAAAAAAACGGCATATCATTTCAGAAAAAGTCCAATTTTATGTCAAAATACCTATGTTAGAATGATGCTATATATAAATTTAATACATATCCTAAGTCGCGCTTTCGAGGCATGAAAAACGCAATTTGAATTTCATCAATTGGCCCAGTAGAAGGAGAGATACTGAACTGACCCCCCCTTTTTTTTTTGCACAGTGTACCTCAGACAAAAGATTACAAACTTTTAAACTACTTCTCAAAGCATGTGAAATTCACTCTGTTTAGCAACAGTAGGAATGCTAAGAGCAGACTCGATTTTTCTCTGTGCTTACTGGCTGATGCATACTCATAATGACACAACTGCCACTGATGAAAGCCCCCCTTTTTCAAGTAGGCAGTCTAAAGGAGGGATCAAGCATTTTCAGAAAGGAAATCATGTTTCTTTGTGAAAATAACAAAATATTAAGCCAAATTACCTGAAATAGCAAGAAACATCACAAATATGAAAAAGTCAGAAGAAATATGTCGTAAATAGGATTTTGGGAGGACAGTCCAAAATTGGAAAACTGGCATGTCTAAAAATCACAAGGTAAATAAACAAATACATCATATTTACTAAACAAACCCTCGCATCAAAAATGACGTGCCACCCTAGATGGTAGACTAGTTAACAGAGAATGAATGTTCCTTTCCTGACTTCTATTCTTTTCCCCCTCTTCATGATGTAATCCCCTGTGGTGACACACTGGGGACTAGGTCATTCTTCCCTGTGATAAGATGGTTAAAATGCCTATAGGGTGGACCATTCCTGATGGATTCTTGACAAGTGTCCAGCCCTTTGGGAAAGACAAAAATCTGAGAGAGAAGCTTCAACAGAATGTTTAACATAAAATAACTAAAGCAAAATATCGTAGAAAAATTACCCTTTTCATCATAAAACTTAAAAGACTGACACATGCTTTTAGGCTTTGGAAGTTCCTTTTAAATTTGTTTCTTTTTGTTAATTCAGAAGCTGAGCACAGACAATGGGTATTTATTAAAAACAATTACGTAAAAGAACAAGAAAAGTGAATAGTTTTCAGATTCAAAATTTATTAACTTCTCAAAACTTCATGACATGAAAATAACTTTTTTAAACAGGTAGGAAGACATGACACATAAAGCAATCCCTTTTGGGATTATCCTCACAAATTCCCTCTCATGGAGCCCACATATTACGCCAATTATCCAGAAGTTTTGAGTGCATAAAGCTGAACTCTACAACTTAATCGCTCGAAACACTATTCTATTTATAGATCATAAGCTATTCATTTATTCAACATCACATGCTTTAGTATGCCTACCCAGTTTGGGCTTATTCCTGCAAAAGAAATTGTAAACAACTTCAAGCTGCCCAGAACAGCATTCTTCGCAGATTACAGACCCTCCCTGGTATATTCCCAACAGCAGATTAGATGCTAAAAATTGTTCAGCAAAGGTAACATCATTATCATATGGCAAAAGTCACCACAGAAAGATCTAGTCATCCTGCAATTAGAATCTGTTACTACAACTTCAACAACCCAGATAACATCAAAAAGCCCATGGTCGTATTAAACGATCAACTGGTTTATATAAAATGCACATTCTTCGTTCTTTGTTTCATGAATCCTGTTTCTAATTTTCAGATGTATTATGGTACCATCTGGTTAGGACTTACTCATATTTTATTTTCCTGTTTCTGCTCATGTGAACTATATACATGGTTTCGGTCGTGACACTTTTTTTCATCACAAATGACTAAATTATTTTGCAGCAATCTATTTCAAAATTCTAGAGTTTTTTTTTTTTTTTTTTTTTTTTTTTTTTTTTTTTTTGGAGGGGAAGAGGGTTAGGGCCTAGCAAACTAAGCACCCTAGTGTCTAACACTATTTTTAAGCAACATAATAAAGCAATTCAAAATTTTCAATAAAGATTGAAAAATTAGAATAATAAATGAAAATTATATTTGTTGATATATACCTTTAGTACAAGAAATAACTTTTTTCCATGATAACATTTTTTTTTCTTATCATTATCCTATCTTTGAACTAAGCACTGACGTTTTGTCATCCATTACTGAGAAAATTCAGCATAGACAACTTTCCTTTTTAATGCCAGGAAAGTGACAGATCATTTACTCAATTTGCAGCATAAAATTAAAAATTAAACCTTACCTTAGTTTAAACTGCATTTAAATATTTTATTTTAACATTTAACAAATCTAATTTTTCTTAAATAACGGAATATCGAGAAATATTTCCATGCATGCACTTACCCAACAATCCAGAAACTCAACGAATTTTTTTGCTTTGTAGGTTCTTTCAGATTGCAATGAAAAAGAATACCCTGTTCGTAAGTAGTATGAATGAAATTATTGACCCCATATCTTTTAGTTATATTTGCTTTAGTGATTTTCTGTAAGAATAAAATAATTTATATTTCTAACATATTTTGAATATTTTATTTATTTATTTGCATAAAATTACATTATCTTAAAATTACCTCATTCCTTAAAGAATGTGCAAATACAGTCCGCATATTCAGACAAGATCTGTGAAAAGTGTCCAAAATATTCTTCATAACTGATCCTTGAAACAAGTCAGCATCATCACGTACAGGAGCTAAGAAAATACCCTCTACTGGATCCATATGCAAATAATGGAATAAAGTATTTTCACATCCAGCTACAACGCTGAAATTATAAAATAATTATCATATTCAAAATAAAATATTTATTAAACTGCAATATGCTTAAACAATTGACAAACTTTCACAATGGAATGTATTTTGAATGTTCAGCGATATCCAGCAATATAGATAGGCTAGAAGATACAAAATGATGGAACAATGCATTAATTATCTAGATGTTTTCGAATTGAAAGCTTAATTAGCATACATATAAATTGAGGTTGCCAAGTGCTTTTAAACACCTTCAGAAAGATAAATTTTGAAACATAACAAAATTTTTTTGTATGTACCTTACTGCATTTTCACTGAAAAGGTTTTCACATCCAAGAAGTCCAGTTGCATCCGATGCAGTACCGTGTTTAGGTAACTGTACCTGCAAAAGCAAAAGAGATATTCTTATTTCATTTTTAAAAACCAAATAAATATTTTGGTTTCATGTGTTTTAGATTTCTTGAAGCCTCAAAACTTTTGTAACATTAAATATGAAAAATAATACAAAATGAGAGTAATATGGAAGTTTGTGTAAAAGTTTCATATGAAAATACACAGTAACTTCAATAATATGAAATTTTCATTCAGTAAAACTGAATGCTTCATATGTAGAAAGCCACAGCAATACTAATGTTAATTTTCCTCACTACATTCCTTAATTACAACATTTTTGAAGATGCTGAAATTATTTCCTTCCCTATTTTTCAATAAGCTGAGATCGCATATTATTTTCAAACGCAAAATCTTTAAAATGCAAATTAATTAGCTCCTCGTAGATTCTCTGAGCCTTTTAATTAGCCATACAATCTCTTAATTTTTGAGCATTTAAGCTTCATAAAAGGGAATGCAATTTATTTAACGAACACAAACTATGTAATTAAGTATAAGTGAAACATGAATTGTTTCAGAGAACTCATTTATATGCTGCATTTTTAAACTTTTAATACACTTATTTAAGAAATTAAAAAATAAAGCCTTTAAAATAAAATATTGCTTTTATTATACTGTTTATGTCAATATTAACAAGTAATATTTCTGCTGATGCCTGAAATATTACCAAACACAAAGAAAACGTTTCATTAGCTTCCCTTCATGTAGAGACATTCTATCTAATTCTCCTTCAGAACAATATAATTTCAGTGTCATTTTCTTCAGAAGCACTTCCATTATTGTCATCTGTTATAAAATCTTTGACATAATTTAAAATATTGTCATCAGTTGTAATTTTCTAAATAACACCTCCTTCTCAAACAAATGCCTGTGACTTTTTGCTTTAAAATAATTTACTGATTTATTTATTGTTAAATGACTTGGCAACTGTTGCCTAGCAATCGGCCAAATCAATCAGATATTTAATCATTGCATCCCATGAAACATTGAGCAGGATGCACTACAAAGAGTGATCCATATTTCACCAGCAAGGAAATGAGAAAAAAAGCTCACAAGCATGCTTCACATTGGAGTTAGCCTTTGTCCTAGCTTTCCAAGTGGCAGTCAGCCTCAACTAATACTGATAGTGTCCAAGGTAGCATTATTGTAAATAGTTTGTAATGATTTTTTTCAATTATTTTCACTAATACTTTAGATCTTCTTTTCCTTTTAAAATCCCTTCAGCATTATTTTCTCTAATGAAACATTTTAAGTCTGCTCATGCTACTTTAACAAAGATCAGATGACTAGTGAGATCAGCAAATCTCTGCTGTATAAACAATAAAAGTAACAATAATAATAATAACTCATCTTACAAGGATAATTATCATATACCTCTGCATATAAGCCGATCCATCAGAGAGCACTAATAGCAGAATACGTCATGCATATCTGACCAATGATCCATAAATGAAGACATTTTGTGACTAAATAGAATGTTTTCAGTATTCCAATGTCGACACAGACAATTTTGCAACGATTTGTGGATGCAGATTTTGTGTTCAGTCATTCTTTACGGTCTCCATTGACAGCCAGGCGTTATCGTGAAGGTCTGCAGTGTTGTCCTATCAAAGTTGCGTGTAGTTTCGAGAGGATAGTATATTCTTCAGGAATGAAGCTTGCTTATGAATATCAGTTATTGATTGGCAGGTGAATGTAAAGAGTTGATGTGGCCCCCAGGAGAATGAATGTACAATTTTCGAGCGATAACTAGCTTGTCAACGTTCATCTCTAGAATGCTAGCATTACAGGAACATTAATAGGATGCTGCAACTCTATATTCTTGCCTATCTTCAGAGTATCCCCTGAAGCCATTTGTTCAATAACTCCCAGCCACATACTGCTCGACTCAACCTGAATATACTGCAAGATATGGAAGTGGTTCCTTGGCCAGTCAGTCTCTTGATCTCTCCCTAATTGAGCATGGTTTGGTATCAGTTGACTACATCCTTTCTGCCAAGAAATGAAAATAAATTATAAGGCCACATCAACAATGTATGATGCATGACAACCTATGATTCGTACACGCTTTGGTTTGACTGCATGGTTTTCCATTTTTGTAATATTAATACGAGCCAATTTCCTTCAGAAAATCCTTAACGAAGGCATCCCTCTTAGACAGTTAGTAATATTCACACAATATTCAATAATAGTTTATATTAATAATTATAATATAATAATAGTTTGCATGTAATATTCAATTACGTGCAAGATCAAAACTCTTCCTTGCCAAATCTAGATTTTGAAAGCTCTATATCTTTTCCATAATTTTCTTTAAACGGGGAAAACTAACAATTTATAAGCTAGTGAATTTGGTTTGAGATTGATGAGCTCAATGAGGGTCTGCATGTTAAACACAAAACATTTTCACATTTAATCATAAAACTATTAAAAACTCATTAAAATTTACAGCAAAGCTATGTATCAACATTTTATTTCCTTTTTTCTTAGAAAATTTTGCAAGAAGATGAATTTGAGCTTCTTGATTCTATTGTCATCAATATTTTCCTTTCCCTCCATGGCAAGACACGTTCTCGTATAGGATTCATGAGGGGTGGGTGAAGCCCTTGTTCATTTAATCATCTCATTATCAAAAATACTGCTCAGGGTGGAACACAGGAGACAACTAATACTGTTATCAGTTTAAAATAGCATTATCTGGGTCTGATTGACCATCTTCTCAGAATTTAAACTTGATGTTCCAGATATAAGTTCCCTTTCCAAACAGCAGAAATTCTTGTTTAGAAGATTTCTTCTTGATGAGAAAATGAGAAGTTATAAATTGCCCTGGAATTAAACTCTCAAAAGTGGGTTCAAGGAAAATGCCTCAGAGATGTTTGGTTCCAATTAAAGAACACACCATCATTGAATTAATTCCTGATGAAGGTTTAACATTCAGTTGCACCATTATCAGAATTATATAAAATTGATTTGCCAACTGATGCTTCTGCAGTAAAATGTTTTTGATAAATACACATGTGCAGTCAATTGATTAAAGCTGAAGTCTGCAGCTTTAATCAATCGACAACTGGTGGGCTTGATAACTTCTGAATTTTGAATTTTTAGTAAAATGTTCTTCATATGAAAATTATTTTGAATTGAGTTTTACCTTTTGATGCATGCATCAAACTATGCAGAAGCATGTAAAGAAAATTATTAAAAGCATCATTATTAACATAACTGAATTGTATGCTACATGCAAATTTACAATTGAATTAACACAAAAATTATGATTACATTTACATATTCACTGCTTCCTTGAGAACCATTAGTAGAACCAGTTGAAGTACTGTAGCTCCTAGATCTTTTATCTTGAGACTGTGAATTGTCATTTGAGTCATCTGAATAGTTTGATTCTACATCAGATTCACCATCCGCTGGACCTAAATATACAACATTCAAAGCTTAGAATACAGAGGTTAATAATAAGATATTAAATATATCTAGCTAACTGGAAAACTGAATAACAAATCATTTATGAAATGTGTTGCATGAATACATTGACCAAAGTGTCATGCAAAACTTAAATTTTACACATACACAAAGAGAAAATTCTACAGATCTTGCTTTATCAACAAAAGTAAGAATACAGTACAAAGTCTGAGATCTGGACATATAACATCCGGAATGATCTAAAATCCGAACTTTAAAGTCACCAACAAAAAATTTTTTTAGGATATATTTTTTTATGCTTTAGGCACATGCATTTGATTTTTCCCCCCTGTAAGAACACGTGTGGAAAATTCCGATTTTTAATTTCCCCTAGGAACTAAATAAAACACCTTGTTATTGAAGAAATAATCATTTTAGCATAAATTTGTTTGGTGTGATAAATAATTTGGCTCCAGAGCTGCATATCTGCTTGGTATATATCTCAAATATATTATCTAATATTTTATATACCTGATGCCAACCTGGCGAATCTTTATTTATGATATTTTCCTTTCATCACTGTATGTTTGACAACCTAAGTCATGTAGTGATCCCTAAACAATTTTTTTTTTTACATTAGTGATTGAATAACAAAGAGTATGGAAAACATTTATGTTGACATGGCTCTTGGTGATGATTACAGATTGAAGTTAAATGTGCTAAATGTTGACAAGGAAAAATTAAACAAAAACTTCTTTCCATATGCTAAAAATAGATTTTGTTAATGATACTCATAGGCCCAAACATTACATTTAGTGCTTTTTGAATTAAAAATAACTTTTTTTATTCACATAAACCCAGAACCGGTGCCAGAGCTCATATAGCCGCACCAGGTGGCAGAATTTAGGGAAGAAAAATTTAGAAAGGAACCGAGCAACAAAATTAAGGGATGATAAAACTAGAATTTAGGGAAAGAACTGGGACCCAAAATTAAGGGATAGCAAAAATTTAGAACTTAGGGAGGCACTTGGTAGAAGAATTTAGGACCCACAAAGACTGCATCAAGCGGCAAAATATCTAGTGCCAACCCTGAGTAAGCTTAAGTATATGTAGGAATTTATTTATTCAGGACTCAGATAAGCCTTAAGTATGTGAAAGAATTAGATGTGAGTATAATATATAACTAAATTAATGCAATTCAGGCTTAACTGTCTCAGTGCACGATAGAAGCAAAGCAAAGTTTAAGGGAACATTTCGTCGCCATGCTACATAGCCAATCATGTATAGCGGACACTGTTAAGCTAGGCTAAAATAGTACCTTACTGATTCCAAAGAAGTTAATACAGCAGATTGTGCTGTTCCTTAACTTTCTGATTTGATCTAGCTCAATGTTTCTTAACTGCCGGTCCGCAAACCGCCACCGGTCTGCAAGAATTACTTGCTGGTCCGTGAAATATCTGTCCAAAACCCAAAGTGTCATCGGCCGACAACCAATATTACAAAAGCACCTACATTACAATAACAATAGTTCACTAGTTTATAAAATAATATGATCAATGATAAAAAATATAACCAACTGGTAACTATGTACCTAATTCGCCTTTCATAAATTGCCGTGCCGTACACTCAGTACATCTGTTAGTGTGACCCTGTCTGCCTTGAGTATCACCAACTATATGAACGCTGAATATCTATCATAGTGTTTAAGGCATCTTAGGTTAGGTTTCACTTTTTATCTTGCTTACATTCTTCTGCAAGCTTGGACAACTGAAAATTATGCATGAGCGTAAGTTTTTAATAACCACTGAATTTAATACTGTGCTATAACTACTATTTCTCTAACTTTAGGTAGATTAAAAATCAATAACCAGGATGAGTAAGAAGGAAATGAAAGGCACATTACTAAATTTCGTGCAAAGAAAGGATTCACCCAAACCAAGCAGGTCGTCCGCCCCTTCGAATACAGCTGAAGGCGAATATAGTCTTTAATCTGCCAAAAAAAGAAAAAGCTTTGAAAGACACTGTATCACAGACTATTTGAAATATGGTTTTGTCCTTTGGCCACAATCAGAATAAGATTGTTCAAAATCTGAATGTGTTATTTGTAGAGATGTTCTTCCCAACGAAAGCTTGAAACCTTCCAAGCGTTCGCGGCATTTACAAATGAAGCACCCACAACTAGAAAACAAACCCCTGGAATTTTTCCAGAGAAAAAGTTTGAAGATGAAAATTCAAAAGGCTGCTTTTAAAAAATGTTTCTCAGTTGATAAATTGCTTTTAAAAGCATCATATTTAGTTGCTCTGTGTATTGCCAAATCTAAGAAACCTTACTCAGTTGCTGAAGAATTCTTGTCAAACCTTGTTTGATAGAGGTCTGTTGTGAAGTGTTGGGCCAATCTACTGCAGATAACATGAAAACTCTGCCTCTGTCCAATGATACTAATGAACGAAGAATATGTGAGTTTCATATGACATAGAAAGTCAATTACTGCAAGATATTCGTAAATTGAAAAGGTTTGCTGTCCAAATGGATGAGTTAATTGACATCTCAAATAGTACCATATTATTATATTATGTTTGTTATATTGACTATGCAATCAATGATGTTGTAGAATAATTGATGTGCTGTATCGAACTGCCATCCCAAACAACCAGTGCTGAAATATTTAAGGCAGTTAACAATTACAGTGAAAATAACTCCATTGACTGGAAAAAATGCATCGGTTTGTGTACTGATGGCACTGCTGCTATGAATAGAAGACATGCAGGTCTTACAAAAAGAATAACAGATGTAGCATCAGAAGAATTAGTAGTCACTCACAGCATTATTCATTGTGAACATTTAGCAGCAAAGGAATTGTCCCCAAAATTGAATGACATTCTTCTAGCATCAGTAAAAATGGTAAATTTTATCAGACGTAACCCCCCTTAATTCAAGATTGTTTACAACTTTATGTCAAGAAATGGGATCGAATAATGTACAATTATTGTTGCACGCCGAAATACGCGGGCTATCCAGAAGAAAAGTCCTTAACCGGTTATGAGTTGAGAAATGAGGTACAATTGTTTTTAAATCAGAAGGGATCATTATTGAGCAGACATTTTTAGAACAAAGAATGGGTAGCCTTGCTTTTACACCTATCAGACATATTTTCACTGACAAACGAACTAAATTTAAATCTTCAAGGTAAAAATAATACTGTTTTCAACTTCTACAATAAGATTGATGCTTTCAAGAAGAAACTGAAACTCTGGTACAAATGTGCGGAAGAAAACACTTCCGATATGTTTGCTTCTTTCTTTGATTACATGTTATGTGTTATTTGCAAAGATGTTCTTTCCAACGAAAGCATGAAACCTTCCAAGCGTTCGCGGCATTTACAAATGAAGCACCCACAACTAGAAAACAAACCCCTGGAATTATTGAACTACCTTCAGATATAGGACTTAAATCAAAGTTCAATTCAGTAAATATATATCAGTTCTGGATAACGACTGCAAAAGAATACCCCAATCTTCATGCAATGGCATTGAAGATTTTATTGCCTTTTCCCTCAATTTATTTGTGTGAAATTACATTTTCGGCTATGACTGTTATTGAGACGAAACATCGAAATTGACTTGCTCTTGCGCCTGCTTTATGTATTGCTGTAACTGGTTTAATGCCTAGGATTGACACTTTAGTCAGCAACAGAGACCAGCAGCAATCTCCTTGATTTTAGTTTTTATTTCCTTTAATTTGGTAAATTATTTTTTGCTTACTTCGTATCTACCTACGCTGTTTACATTTCAATTCATTGTTGTTTTTGCTAATACAGTCAAAAGTCGTTAATCCGGACTCGTCGGGACTTCGGCGAACCCGGATTATCAATATTTCCGGATTATAGATCATCAGTTTAAATCTGGTAAGATGGCATGCAGAAATTATAAAATTAAAAATATGAAACCGTAATTAATGAAATAAAGAACAATTATGATCTAAAGGGTATCAAAATTTACAAAAAAAAAAAAAAAAAAAAAAAAGCTTAACATTTATTTTTTTACTTTATTAAACATTTCTTTCAATGTAAGTTGTTTCGGTTTTATGTGATAATACTTTCTCTTTAATTCTATAAACAGACATAATTTCTTGTTCAGTTACAAAGTTCCGCTGTTCAAGTCCTATAATTGCTGTGTTGAGAATACCGACTAATTTGTCAATCGAAATTTTTTCGTTTTCAATAACCTCTGTGTCACATTCTCACTATTGGAAGCCAATTATAATGGCGAGGGAATTGGATTTAAATCATATCAAAGACGGAATACATCGAGATGAAATACTACATTTAGTAAGGAATTAGCCAAATAAAATGAAAACATCTGCCCTGAAGATAAGGATAGTGCTGACAAATCAACTTCCAATTCATTGCGTGCCACGGCGTACCCCCCAGCCGCAGAGCAGCGTGAAATTGATAAACATATTTCGGAGTGGTTAGGTCATTTTTTGCAGCAATTCCACTTTTGTTTAATGGACTTCGAAACATACTTTCGCTTTGTAGATCCTTTACATATTAGTAAATATAGATCGGAAATTCTATTTGACATAATCGAAAGTTCAAGCTTACTTTTATAAAATTGCTCTAACAGTCTGCAAAAAATAATAAGCCAGATCCAATTCGAAAATTAAGGAACAATGCAATCTGCAACATTAACTGAATTAGATAATTTTAGCTTAGCTTATACCATCCGTTATACATTAAACGCGCATGCGTAAATGTATTTTGCACATGCGCACACGCATATTCGCAGCCGTAAAGGTTTAGCGCATGCGCAGAAAGTTTGTAGCTTTGAGGCCCGGATTATGGGTGTCCGAATTAACGACTTTTGACTGTATATTAATTAAAAAAATATCACTGATATTGGAATTTTCTTGAAGTTTTAGTAGTTTTATTATCGATGCAATATTTTAAGTAAGTTGAAAGTACATATGTAAATTATAACAAATAAAATACGTTAAAATTATTTTTGTCTT